TTCTTTTGATTGCGGTAGTCGAGTTTTCGACAACAATCCTACCATCAAAAAGTCTTGGGATGGGCCCTAGGACTTCGTAAAGAAGGCCACAGACGCCCAGACCAATCCATCTCATCAGCCTAGCCACTAGCCAGTTACCAGTCCAGCAATAGACATTCATGCGAACTCGCTCATTTCAATACCAGTATACCACTACTTGAATGCAAAATGATGAATCCTTAAAAGATGCACATATATGATTGTCGAAATTCCTATTCAACCTTGTTTATTTAAGAATGGACAACCGAAAGAGTTGGCCATCAGCCCATCACAGTACACAAACTGTTCCCATTTCTTCTCCAGAAACATTAAAATACCCCAAAACCAAAAGACACAACACAGAAGAAAAACATGCAAATTTCAACAAAATAATCAATGCTTCATCAATGCAACAACCTTCTTCCAAGATGGCCTGCCCAGAATATCAGCACACCATGCGCTAACATGAGGGCGTTCATCGAAAAGACTTTTAATTTTAGAGCCCATCAGGTAGTTGATAACCGGCAAATGATGCAAATCAGCCAATGTGAACGAATCTCCTCCCAAATACTTGGACTGTGCAAGGCGTGCTTCGTAGACGTCGAGGACTTCCGCGAGTTTGCCTTCAAGCTGTGCGACGATGGCTTCGTCCGTGGTCTGGCCGAGCATGGGTTTGATTACGATCTCGTAGCCGAGTTTGGAGGCTTGAGGATCGAATCTTTGCCCTTCAACCTCTGTCCATACTGAAAGGATTGCCATTTTCTTTGGATCGGAGGTTATCAGTGGGGTTCCCTTATCAGCATAAGTGTGTGCAAGGTATTGAGTGATTGCCCTTGATTCTGCATTTTGAGGTTCCACATGTTAAGAGAATTTTTTTTGAACAAAAACGTGTCTATACATAAGGTTTCGGATGGTTCTTTGAACAAACTTGTCTAAAAGTTTAAGCCGTAAGAAATAGTCATAATTTATTCCATGCCCGACCTATTTTTTAAATCTCATTTTCAATCATATAATCCACAATTTTTATCAACTTTCAACCACATATTTCAGCCTATATACGTGTTTTTTTTAAATGTTCTAAAGCAATTTTTAGCAAACTTCATGTGCACGTTGTATTCATTTTTATTTTATTTTTTTCCGTCAAGGACTATCTAGTGGATGAATTTTATAATTGGGTGGTCTCGATTCGAACTTGTTATCTTTTCTAAAAGTTCCGCCCCGCTCCTAGAGCTTTGTGGATGAGAGAAATCTTGAGATGTGCCTCATCAGACTAGGGTACAAAAGCTGTCATACTCGTACCCACAAAACGTCCAATTTCATACCGCAGAAATCAAACTCTAACACTGCGGCTGCCAGCTCAACTGAGACTATTTCACTCCTGTCATTTGCACTACTGAACTATACCCCTAGGCAACTTGGAATGTTTTCTAGCTTTGATATCATGTCGAACTAGTTCGTCTAAATAGTAAAAAGAAAATATATTTACTCTATAATTTAGTCTTCAACGAGGGAAATTAACTTACCAAAGAGAGTCAAGTCTCCATCTTCAAGGACTGGTACTTGACGAAAGGGCTAACAGAAAAGAAAATTTTCAGCAAAAACAGAAAATTCAAGAAAAATAAAAGAAGAATTTTGGATGACAATTCTTACATTAAGTTTTAAAAAAGCCTCTGTCTTCTGCTGGCCAGTTCGTAAATCAATATTCACAAACTCATATTCAAGTTCTTTTTCTGCTAGTGTAGCAAGAACTCTCTGCGTTGCTCCAGAAAAAGGGTATCCATGAACCTTTATTGCCATCACTGCAAAACGCTCAACAGAAGAAGAAAAAGGTAATACTTTGGAATAATGATTTTATCAACAAGAATGATGATATATAAAGGGTATTTATAATAATATAAGTCTCTAGAATGATCTATCATTTATACCATGATTAGTTTCAATTAAAATCTAGATTTTAATTTAAGTTAAAGTGAACAATTTATGTCAATCACATATTTTATGGATCTCACAACTTTTTAACCACATATTTCATCAATTTCTATCAAAATTCACTAAAAATTTGATTTTAATCTCAACAAATAGGGGCTTAATAGGCTTTTTTGGCAACTCGAGGCATATTTGGTGCACAATATTAGAAAAATGTTAAGTGTACATTCGATGTTTTACATCTGTTTTCACATCCTTTGTGCTTTAAAAAAAAAATGAACAAGAAAATAGTTTTCTTTTTTAAACTGATAAATGGTGGGTGGCCCATGACAAAATGTAAATATCAACATGATTGCCGCAATATTGTCTTGTTTTTTATATTATCTCCTCGGAGTTAATAATGTTCACATGTGAAAGCGCCTACCAAAATAGTTTTGAGCCTTTCAATTTGTATATGGGCCAGCAACTTCTTGGATATTACTTGGAATATTATATTTTTTTTGGGAAGAATACATAAATCTTGCTTTTACTTATACACATTTCAA